GGTCTTTTTATCTAGTACTGCGGTTGTGCCAGATTTTGTTTTGGTACGGGTGCCATCCTCTTTCACCCTGATGTGCTGATGCACTTTTTCCATCAAGGCCTCCATGGTGAGGGGCGGTGTCATGGTGATTGAGTCCCTTAGTTTGTTTCCGACTAGAAGGCCTCTTTTGTATTGTGCAATGGCGAGATTGGTGGGGCAGTCCCCAATCTGGTTGAATATCTCCCAGTAGCGACTATTGTAGGATCTTAGTGTCTCCTTTTCACCCATGTCGATGGAGAGTAACTGGTCAATCTCCACCAGGGTTTTGGTGTTCGTTCTGAACCTCGTAACGAACGCCTCCGCCAATTGTGCCCAGGAGGCTATGCTACCTTCTAGAAGTTTTTCGAACCAAGTTAAGCCTAGGTCACCAAGGCTTGATGGGAAGAGGATGCACATCAAAGCCTCGTTTCGTCGATATACCGCCATAACCTGGCGGAAGTGGCTTAGGTGTATGTAGGGGTCTGTCTTCCCCTCGTACGTGGTGAATTTAGGTTGAAGGAAACCTGAAGGAAGGGGCGCGTTTTCAATTGCCGGAACGAACGGCGAGGTCTGCAGCCTTGCTAATGCTTTGTCTGTTGGTTCGTAGGCAGGGCGTGGCAACGGCATTCTGACCTCGACGCTTCCATGCGTCCGAGGAGCCAACTGCTGAAGGGCAGATACCCTGCGAGGGTTGCGCGCCCTGATATCCTCCTTCCTTCGTGCCTTTTCTTCCAACATGTTCCGCAAATTGGACGATCTTGGCAACTCTGTCTGCCTGGATGATGTCTGGTGCGAGCGTGAGGGTCGATAGGTACTTCTCTCAGTGAAAGACTTCAATGATCTCGTTCTCTCAGACCTGGAGTAACGAGTTCTAGAGGTTCTGGATTGAGTATCGCCTGTCCTGAGGCTTCTACTATCTGCTTGTGATGGTGTGGAATGCCTTCCACGGTTTTCTGAGCGGCGAGGAGGCGTCTTGCTTTTGCGCCCCTCTCATGTCGCCACTCCTTTTCCCTTTATCTGGCGCTTCATGGCCTCCATGTCCGCCGCCATCTTCCTTATTAATTCATCTTGCTCCTTCACGCGGTCCTCCAGAACTTGAGGATCAATCCTCCGCCATTGTCTGTCAGGACTTCGTGAACGAGAGCGACGAGGGCTGTTAGTCCGCCTTCTTCCCCTTGTATCCCTTCTGGGATTTTGTCGCTGTGGTTCTAAGTCCGCCATGGGAGGGATAGAAGGTAGGCCTTCGCGTCTGGCCCCTCCTTCTGGTGTTTGTCCGTCGATGGCGGACTGCGGCAAATCTTCGTTGTGCGCCGTTGCTTCTAAAAAGGAAAAGCTTGATCAAGAGGTTTTGTCCTTGTCTGAATTCCCACAGACGGCGCCAATTGTACGGGAAAGAAATAAACCTTCTCGTATAATCCTATTGATCAAGTTTGCGCTCCTCCAAACGTCATTGCTTTACTCCCTGAAAACACAAATGTGAGCTAGCCGGCGGGTGTGTGCCGGATACCTCTCCGATGCCTAAGTCAGCAAAATAGACAAAGACAAAAGGCTGTGTATCAAAGTTGTGTGTTACCTCTCCATAGGTGATGTTGTAAGTTTTTATAGGTTCCGCGTGACACAATCCTAGTAGGACTTTCACTCCTCTATGTAGAGTCCTCCTAGGATTCATACTCCTGAAAGATAATGCCTATCCTTCAACACCCCCCTCACTGCATAAACCAAGTGAGATGGCTCCATGGTCAGACTTCAACATGACCGAGGTAAGCATGGTTATGCTAAGCCACAGACTAGACCGAGATAACATTAGCTCGGCTCTTCCATTCACTGCTCTTACCTTGGCTCTTCTTAATGCTAACCACGGTATGTCTGGACCGGAATAACCAATACTCCGATCCAAACCGGGATAACTTTGTGAGTGACGACCAAACTTACCATACGCTCTTTGGGACCGGAGTAACTTCAGGTCTCTCACGGACCGAAGTAACTTTACACCTCTCTTGAGCCGGAGTAACTTTACACCTCTCTTGGGCCGGTGTAACTTTACACCTCTCTTGGGCCGGAGTAACTTTACACCTCTCTTGGGCCGGAGTAACTTCATGGCCTTTTTACTCAGCCCTTCGCAATGTGGCCCATAACTGCCCATTACCCAGCTCAGCCCAATTTATAAGTATAAATTACCCTCTCAAAAAGGGGAAAAAAATATATATATATAAACTTCTGTACAGAAAATTAAAAAGAATACCCCAGCGTTTACACAAATTATACACCCTTACTTGAAGATGTACCCAGCAAATTTTTACACATTCTTCATATTAAATAATATTTTGCTATAAAATCGGGTGATATAAAATAATAAAATATAATTTACTTTTTTATTTTGTTTTATTTTATTTTATTTATTATTATTATTATTAAAAGTTATTATTATTATTATTATTATTATTTATTTGTTACACTTTTAAATGGTGAACTTATCACCACAACCACCTACCACCACCAACCACCCACCTGCCAGCACCACCCACCAGCCACCACCACCCATCTGCCACCACCACCCACCACCCATCACCACCTACCACCCATCACCACCCACCACCCATCTGCCACCCACAACCACCCACCTACCACCCACCACTACCCACCACCCATCTGCCACCACCACATTTAATTTAATGACAACATATTTATTTATGAAAGTTACTAAGAAACACATTGCATATTAATAACAACTTATTTAATTGTCTTCGCCAGACTATACATAAAATTGCATATTACACATTGCATAAACAGCATATTTAAGTACACATGTACTAAGAAAACCATTATCTTCATTGCCCATGCGATGATGTTTGTGTTTTATTTCGTTACACATTGCCATTTAGCCCAATCGTTGTCCTCAATATTAGTTATCCTATAAGAAGATAAAAGAAGTCAGTAAATCATAGAAATGATGGTTGGGCGAAGTTATGTAGTAACGGTGTCATAATGACTGAAATTAGTAAAATAATTACACATTTACAACCAGTAGTCAGTACGATATTCACTTGCCTTGTTCACATCCCTTTTCTATGCATGGTGAACATGATTTTGCCACATAGCAGTAGCAATTGTGTAACGCCCCGACCCTTTACATGTCATCGATATTGTCCGCTTTGGGTCACGCCCGCACGGATTTGTTCTTCCCAGTGGGTCACCCATCCTAGAACTACTCCAGCCTAAGCACGTTTAACTGGGGAGTTCTAATAGGGATTTCACCACTTGGGAAAAGGCCTCGATGCTATATAAGGGTCCAGGTTTTTACTTTTATAGCCCAGGAACTCCTCCTCCATTCCCGATGTGGGACACCGAGGCCTTACAATCCACCCCCCATAAGGCTGCACGTCCTCGTGCAGTAGCCTGCCAGCTCGCAAGCCCGCCCACATGCACCAAGAGACGCCAGGGGCCTACACTCAGTACCTCGGAAAGTCGGCTCTGATACCATTTGTAACGCCCCGGTGTCCCACATCGGGAATGGATGGGGAGTTCCTGGGCTATAAAAGTAAAAACCTGGACCCTTATATAGCATCGAGGCCTTTTCCCATGTAGTGAAATCCCTATTAGAACTCCCTAGTTAAGCGTGCTTAAGCTGGAGTAGTTCTAGGATGGGTGACCCACTGGGAAGAACAAATTCGTGCGGGCGTGACCCAAAGCGGACAATATCGATGACGTGTAAAGGGTCGGGGCGTTACAAATGGTATCAGAGCTGACTCTCTGGGGTACCGAGTGTGGGCCCCTGGCGTCTCTCGGTGCATGTGGGCGGGCTTGCGAGCTGGTAGGCTACTGCACGAGGATGTGCAGCCTTATAGAGAGTGAATTGTAAGGCCCCGGTGTCCCACATCGGGAATGGAGGGGGAGTTCCTGGGCTATAAAAGTAAAAACCTGGACCCTTATATAGCATCGAGGCCTTTTCCCAAGTGGTGAAATCCCTATTAGAACTCCCCAGTTAAGCGTGTTTAGGCTGGAGTAGTTCTAGGATGGGTGACCCACTGGGAAGAACAAATCCGTGCGGGCGTAACCCAAAGCGGACAATATCGATGACGTGTAAAGGGTCGGGGCATTACAAATGGTATCAGAGCCGACTCTTCGGGGTACCGAGTGTGGGCCCCTGGCGTCTCTCGGTGCATGTTGGCGGGCTTGCGAGCTGGCAGGCTACTGCACGAGGACGTGCAGCCTTATGGAGGGTGCATTGTAAGGCCCCGGTGTCCCACATCGGGAATGGAGGGGGAGTTCCTAGGCTATAAAAGTAAAAACCTGGACCCTTATCTAGCATCGAGGCCTTTTCCCAAGTGGTGAAATCCCTATTAGAACTCCCCAGTTAAGCGTGCTTAGACTGGAGTAGTTCTAGGATGGGTGACCCACTGGAAAAAACAAATCCGTGCAGGCGTGACCCAAAGCAGACAATATCGATGACGTGTAAAGGGTCAGGGCGTTACAAATTGCATCCCTAACGTTCAATTGGGACGTTAACCCATGTTGTGACATGTCAACGTAGTCAGCTTGGTCTTCAACAAGCCCGTCTGCTTCTGCTTCTGTGGCCATTTCATTATCAGCTTCCATAAAAAATGGATCCATAGCTGCATGCAAACGGATCCAATTGTGCACTACACAACATGCAATCACGAGAGGCCCTTGTCGTGTAGACTTGTAATTTGGCATGGACTGCAATATTGGGAACCGCTTCTTCAAAACACCAAATGTTCTTTCTATGACATTGCGTAATGACGAATGTCGATGGTTAAACAATTCCTTAGGTCCTGCATAACGATGGCCACGAAACTCTTGCAAGTGATACCGTTGAAACCGAAATGGGGCAAGAAATCCAGGCATGTTCGTGAAACCAGCATCAACTAAATAGTACTTGCCTACATGTAAATAATGAATACACAGTTCTGTCAATTGATATGTACAAAAATAGACAAGGAAAAAAGTGTACCGTATGTTATTCAGGGACAGTCACCATTAGGTGGGTGTGGGAACTGTAGATCAGCTCGTGTAATAGAGTCAACCAGAATAGCGTTGTCGTGAGCGCTACCTTCCCATCCAGAATTAATAAATGTGAACAACATATCGAAGTCGCAAGCTACGAGTACATTTTGCGATACCGTTGCTTTCCGACCGCAAAATGTATTTTGTCTTGAAGCAGGGACCCATGCATCCACCAATGTGCCATCGATAGCACTGACACAATCCTAATTGACAGATATTTGTTTGATATTAAAAGCGAAACAAACTTCGATATTACTTTCATAATAAAAAAAAATAATATTTATTAACACTTATTGATATGAACAAACTTACAGGACAGTTATACTGTTCGTACCTTGAACCAGGGAAAAAACCTCCTGTTATTTAAATTTTTTCCCCGTATGTCCTCTAGGTTACGTGGCTTGATAACCGATGATGAAAGCTTGCACAATGCCCGCATAATAATTTTTATGTGCCGACAAATTCTTTCCGTGGAGTGTTGAAATCTATCTGCCATTATTCGATGGCGATCATTTTGTGCAAAAGTGTATAAAAAAATTCCAAGCGATTCCTCCACACTGATATGCATATGTTTAGTATTGATAAAGCCATTATGGAGTAAAGTGTCTTTCAATAAAATGAATGTTTGTGCATCTATTCACATAACTTTCATCATTGTTTCTGGATGGCCATTTAATAGGCCGAAGATGTAATCATCACCTCTGAATGGACACGTTTGCTGCGGTTGGCGACTACTTGATGCGTTGATATGGTCATGCATTAAAGCAATCATAAAAAAATCCATAAAATCATCAACAACCTCATCTTCCTCTGATGAGAGCTCCATTGTATTGTTTTCTCTGTCGGATGACATATGTCTTTGTCTACATCACAGTAAAAGCATAATTATAAAATATGTTATTCATGCTGTAACAGTTAGCGTTATTGGTGAAACAATCAAATTCAGAGGACAACAAAATTTATTTAACACATGGTTATATTATAATAATAGAACATAGTTTTAATAAAACAGAAAACACTTAAAAGTTCAAAAAAAGAAAAAAAACATACGAATATAGAAAAGGAAAGAGGATATGATGGAATGAAAAAAATAATAATAAAAACCAAATCAGGAATAATGAAATCATCAAACAGTTCAGCCAAGAAGATTTGCTAACCAAAGCAAAACAGAACTTCTCAGTTCACTGCAAAGTGAGGATCATGGCTAGGCGCAAATGGGTAGGAGTGCGCATAAAAAACCTTCGCCATTCCTTATCCTTGAACAGTGCTAGTGCCCTAACGTACTGCAACGGTGGTATGTCCCCAAGCTCAAGCAATGCATCTTGACATGCATCAAGGGAATAATTATCACCACCTGCACTTACAGCCTCAGTCTCATTTTCTCGTGCACGTGAATGTCCTGTTTTGGCTTGTATATACGATGTGAAAGCTGCGCACACATCATCAAACCCATTTGACCGTGACTTTTTGGAACGACCATTGTCAGTCTGGCTGGTTGCAGGGCCCCTCTTGTGACTTTTTCCCTTTGCTGGATCCATATACTCATCCCCGAATAAATCAACAAGAATGGCCTCAGCAGCATTACTCCCACCAGCGTTACTCCCACCAACATCAGCGTTCCAAAATTTATTTAACATGTTATCTTCTTCTTCTGAGTCAAGGGGTCTTTGTGTAGATGCATGAGACAGGGCCCATGTGGCACAACAATTTTCAATAATTTCTGCCATTTCTTGAAAATATTCAAACCCTTTTGTCCTAAACTTCTTCACACTTCTACTAGCCTACAACAATTACAAAACAAGAATTAAGCACTGTATATATCATGAAATGTTTAAAATAAAATTAGAAAATAGTACAAATTAATGGAAAACCTTATCCCAAAATTTATCGGGTGCAACAACAGTGCCTATAATAGAATCTCATCCCAGACCAGTCTGTGCCTGCAGTCGCTTAAATGTTTAGTAATCAGCTTTCAATCGCTGATATTTTTGGCGCACCTTGACACCTGTATACCGAAATCCATATATGTTGTGCAACTGATTTGCATAATGATTCCAATGCCTAATTGTCCACGAAGTAGTACGACCCGTTGTTTGATTGCTTCTAACATCATCTCTCAACATATTTATTAATTTTGTTTCAATTCTGGGCGTCCACATTTTGGTGTTCTCATTGTCATTGGAATTATTTTCATCCATCTATAAACATACAAATTATATTTAAACTAGTTTGGGGTGGATATACAAACAGAGCAGAGTATTTTAAAGTAGTCTGCGATGGATATACAAGAATAACAGCGCAAAATGGTTTGAAGGAGAACACAGATAAAGGAAAAAGAACAGATGATTTTATTTCGAGGAAAAAAGTACGTAGCATATTAATTGAATTTAAATAGCAGAAATATAACCACAAAAAAAAAACATTCAGATAGCAGAAATATAACCACAAATAATAATAATAAAAAAAATCAGTTAACATTGTGTTTAAATAGTAGGAAACAAATCAATAAAAGAAAAATTAAGAAAAAAAAATCAGTAAAAAAGCCCGGTAGGTTCAAACAGTTCAGGGGAGGACCGGTCGATAGGTTCAAACCATTAAGGAAGAAATGGAAAACCGGAAGACAAATCCAGAAGAGGTGGGAGGACCGGGCGGTTGACTGGTTGGTCGACCGGCCGGATGACCCGGGGGACGACCGGTCAGGTGTCCCAAGCACTGCCGCTTCAGGTTCTGATCAATGAAAGGTTCAAACAGTTCATAATTTAAAATAACAATCGATCTGAAATGGAAAATACGCCTCTACAATTTAAAATAACAACTGATCTAAAATGGAAAATACGCCTCTACAAATTCTCATAAACCATTTAGGAACTGATTTCAACATCTCCGAAATCATTTATACATAACAGATGAAGAGTGATTTACTGACTATTCTTGAAGAACAAAAAAGTTGAAACAGTTCAGAATGAAAGATGAAGAATGAAATCATTTATCGACTCGTCTGAAATCATTTTCAGATAACAGATGAAGGATGAAGGATTTATTTACCAGATTAATGGGAGTTGAATAGTTATCGCCGGTGATGGAATGTGTATACTGATTAAATGTGCCACTATTTGCTCGTCGGATTCGACAAAAAATTTGATAAATTTGACCTGAAAAAAAATAAAAATAAATTAAGATGAATTTCTCAGATAATTTCCCTATAACAAAATATGTAAATAAATTTGTGAGTAATTTCACCTCGCAGTTGTCGTTGTTTGGTTGCCCGTAATAAGAATCGTCCACAACGCACAAATCGTAACTCAGTCGATTTGTGAAATATGATACCAGCACAGAGCGAGTTGGGTGGATTCATTATTTATAAAATGAGTCTGACTTCTGAAACCCACCCGTGATGAATCTGAAGTAAGGATGTTTGATATAGAGAAGCCAACCGTGATGAATCTAAAGGACTGATGTAGATGAGGTTTACGTAAAAGTTGTAGAGACGATGAAGAAGGCAGAAACGTTGAAAGGGAGATACAAGCTGCCAAACAGATTTTCAAAATGTAATTTGAATTAACACACAGAATCAACTTTTGAACGTCGTATCCAAACGTCATGCGCGAGCTTACGTGTTGAAAATTGATTTGAATTAACAACCAAACAGAGCCTAAGTCTCTTTCATTTAATCACCTGGTTACATTCAAAACATTAAATGACAACTTTTTATATTTTTTATTTTTAATGCCATTTTTAATTACATTTATCAGGTAGAATGAGATTCCCAATATCATCCCCAGACCTTTCTTATTCTTTTATTTTCTTTTGATTATACACCTCCCATGTAAAATATCGTATTATTAGATATTTAATTCAATAATAAAAATGAGCATTTAAGGACCGATCATATTAACTAGACTTATTTATCTATAAGTCTTGTTTTTGTTTTTGTTTTTTATTTTCATCTATCAATATTCTTATAAATGTTCTCTCCCCACCTTCTTCATTTCTATTACCAACGTTACCGTGACTCCATCATTCTCCCTGTCGGTGACCTCCAAGCCATCTCTAGTCGTCATCTCCGGTCGCGACAACCATTTCTGGCAGCAGTCTTCAATCGCTAGCAACCATCTCCAACCTTTAGCGATATTTTTTTAACAATGTTTTTCAATAATTCTTCGACCATTTTTTTTTGCAAAAACATTCATCTTCACTATATCATTACTCCCACTACCTCCTTAGATCTGATAGTAACAAGAGAGAGTGGGAGAGAAGGAAGAGAATAATGACAATCTGGTAATAATAAATTTATCGTTAACAAAACATCTAGTTTAACTAGATCTTTACTAATAGATTCATGGAGATCCATCACTATGTAAAGAGAGAGAGAGAGTGAAACCTAATCCTACTAATAAAGAGCTCTGGTGACTATGTAATGTTTACAGCTTGATGGCAAACATGGTTATAGTACCAAATGGGTGTCTAAGATAGTAGATTGACATTGTAAATGGCTAGATCTGAACAATGGTAGTGAAGATCGACAATGGTGAAAGTAGTTGGTGAATAATAGTAATGGATCTATGATAATGAGGTGTAGATCAGAGACGATAGAATGTAGATTGGCAATGGTGAAGATCAGTAACGGTTGAGGTTATTGATGAATGGTAGCAGTAGATTGGTAGTGGTGGTGTGTAAATTGACAACAATAGTGGTGATGAATAAGAGCAATGCCTAATAGATGATTGCGTGGCCAGCGACGATTAGGGCTGCAAACGAACCGAGCCGAGCCGAGCTTTGCTGAGCTCGAGCTCGGCTCGTTTACTTATCGAGTTCGTTTATTGAGTTCGAGCTCGGCTTGATAAGGAACTAGGCTCGAGCTTGGCTCGGCTCGGCTCGATAATTTTTTTTTAATATCATTTATATTATTTAATATATAAAAAATGTATTTATATATATATTTATATATATATTTATATGTTATTTAATATATAAATAATATATTTATTATATAATTTAAATAAAGATAAACGAGCTGAGCTTAACAAGCTGAGCTTACGCGAGCTCGAGCTTGGCTCGTTTACTAAACGAGTCTAATATTCGAGTTCGAGCTCGGCTCGTTTACTAAACAAGCCTAGCCGAGTCGAGCCCTTAACGAGTTGAGCCGAGCTTGTTCATGAATAGGTCAGTTCATTTGCAACTATAGCGACGATGGAAGTGGCAATAGCCAATGATGGTGTGAGACTCTTAGAGAAATAGTAGAGAGAGAAAGAGAGAGCTGTCTTTTGGTTTCACAAAACAAGTGATGAGGGTATAATAAGTATTTTAGAATTTTTAAATACATTTAAAAGATGTATAAGATTTAAAAGTATTTAAGTTCATTTAATAGGACACACCCGTAATTAATCATTATAATAAATAAATAAAAATATATATGGGTATCAGGTGGAAAGTTAGTGGAATCAACTTGGGCCTGGCCCAGCCCAACTTTCTTCTTCGCATATTCTGAGGCATTAAGCCGGATACTATTCGGCTCTCAGCCCATTGTTGATTGCTGTTTGCTGATTGGTGATGGACTGGACATTGGGTTGATTTTTGTTAGGGGCCGAATTTGATCTTTCCTATTGGTTTTACAAATGCCGTTTCTTGGTCCATGGGCTTTTTCTTGGTCCATGGGCTTTTTCTTGGCCCATATAAACTTGCATGAGCACAGCCAATTAAGTCCCATTGAGCTGTGGATTGTTGGTTGTTGACCATGGCCCAACCCAAAATATCATGGTGGTGGGTTTTAGTTGTGCCTTATTCTTTCTCCAAAAGGGGCCATTATATTTTAACCCAAAAACTATTAGGGAAACTTACCAATAAGTCCCATATACAAAGTTCAAGACTCATTTAATCCTCAAACAAAACATTTGTACCAATTAGTCTTATATATTTTTCATTGTTACCAAAAAATCCTTTTTTTTTAATTTACAGACACTGTTACATCGTACTACCGTCGAACTTTCGTCAAACGGTCACCGGAGACTCGTCGGAATGTTCAACATCACTAGGAATTCGCCGGAGTATCGTCGGAAGTTCACCAAAGTGTTAAGAACGTTAATGGAAGTCGCTGGAATATTCAGAACGTTCACTGGACGTTAAAAATATCATTGGAGACTCACCGGAATGTCTAGAATATTGCCGGGAAAAAAAAAAGAATAAATGGAGAAATTAGAGCGAAAAAAACATAGCAAAATGTGTTAAATATTGATAAACTAAAAAAAAAAAAAAATGAAATGACAAAAAATAGCAATGATGGAAAAAACATATTCTATTTTTTAATTTTTGTAAGGTTTAAGTAAATAATCTCCAATATTGATCAAACTGAAAAGTAAGTTTTGTAACTGTAAAATGTTACAGTTTCAAAGTAAAAAACTATTAAGCATTTATCTTTATTAATCAAACTGAAAAATATGTTATGAAATTGTAAAATTTTACAATTTTATACCATGATTCATTCTAACAACAAAAAAATTTGAAACTGTAAAATTTTATAGTTTTAAACCATGATTTACTCTAGTACTAAAAAAATTTGAAACTGCAAAATTTTACAGTTTTCATCGCCTGTAACTAAAACTTGAAAACAACTTGTTCAGAACTTGAAAATTTTCTTCATTAGAACAGAAAAAGAGAAGTGTATAGTAGAGAAAATGTAGAAAAAAATAAGAGATCGAAGGAGAAAGGCGGATATAGAAAGAGGATTGTACTCCGACAACTATTTTTTGTTTAGATCTAGCCAAATCTGATGTAGATCTACATCAGATCTAAGTAGATCTACTCATCTTCTTTGTCGGAAATATATTTTATTTACCGTTGGTGAAAGTGAAGTAAAGAGTCGGTGGTCGGTGGTTGCCAGTGAATCCCAATCGATGGTAGTCGTCGGTCGTCAGCGACTATATCGAAAAGAGAAAGAGAAGAAGCAAGATATGGTTACCCGTCAACGATTGTCGGAAATCACAAAGAGTAAAAGAAACAGAGAAGAAGAGAGACAGAGAAGAAGAATAACGTTATGGGATTTTTGGGTATAAACAAAAGGTTATAAGACTAAATAGACTACACGTTTTTCAAAAAAGACTTCTTGGTAATTTTCCCAAACTATTATTACTTACAAATAGGAAAAAAAAAAAGTTTGAACAAAATCAAATAATAGATGAGAGTAATAATCAAAATAGTTTTT